CTGACATTTTCAATTACAAAAGACAAACTAATTCATGTTCACTGAAAAGGAGTTACCAGCCAAAAATGACATGAAATAATTTCCAAGACAGAAGAAATTAAAATTTCAAACTACAAGGGACAAGAAACAAATTTTAAATGTCAGGTTCAGGATAAGGAAAACTATTTTAAACTAAGCAAAAATAAGTAATTCAGAGTTTCGCATGTACTTGTTTTCACTGAGCAGGGCAATTAAAGGTTACCAGCCGCACTTGCCTTCGCTCAAAACCCTTAGTTCCTGAACATATTTGTCAATTGAACAGCACCACTTCTCTTTAATATGCAGCAGAGTTTTCATCTGTGACACACAGAATCCTCTCCACATCTTTTAGATGCTCACCTTCATTGTCCCTGCCAATCTTACTATTCTAACGAAAACATCCTGCCATTAGCTCCACCAGTATTTCAAATACATTAAAAAAAATTTTTTTGTTTTTGACTGTCCTGAGAAGGTTTGAAAACACTGAGTGAGGTAAATTATAAGCTGCCGTCAAGTCTGTGAACTGCAACAGCACAGAGACCTCTTGTCTGGGAGGCTGACAGCTGCCAAAGCCTGACCTTTCCCAACCTGGTCAACTGAAGATGTGCTAATAGGATCTGTTTAACCTTACCCATCCGCCTGTCATGTGACACAAGGGCAAGTCAATCAACTCGGCAAGGAGAGCTCCGGAATGGTCCCCACAGAGAGCAACATTTATTCACTTCTAAACCTTCCTAGAAATTTCAGATTTAAAATGCAAGCTATTTACACCTAAGTCCAAAACCAAAAAATACCAGTTTTTCCTTTTTGAATACTTCATATTAAGGCTTTCCATTGTATGGCATAAAGATTCAAATTCTACTATCCACTGGAAACCCACATATAGACTAAAAAGGGCAAAGTTTCAGAGAACTGCCAGAGCCCGAAAGAGAACACAAGTGTCCCCAAGATCCAATAACTGGCCCCATTCACCTCCTCTACATTTTTATCAAACAAAATTATATCAGCCATGGCAAGCTGAACTAAAACAAAATTTGAGGGGGAAATACTGTACAAAGAAATTACTTCTCCCTTTTCCTGTACATATTTCTCCATCAAAGCAAACACAATGCAATTTAGTTAAACCCATGCATTTCCTCCTAAAGTAAAAACATTTATTGTACAGAAGTAGATCAACGTAAGTCATTGTAGTTTTAATGAAATGGAAATGATAGAGAAATGCACACACACACACACACTTGAATTCCAGGTACACTCTAATATGTGTGCCAGCAACCCAGCTCCCATGACATGGAGACCAGGATGGCCCCATGGCCCTCCACTCCCCACTGTGTCCTTCCCCCTAGACCCGTGGTCCGCAAACTGCAGCTCGCGAGCCACATGCGGCTCTTTGGCCCCTTCAGTGTGGCTCTTCCACAAAATACAATGTGCGGGCGCACGTACAGTGCGATTGAAACCTCGTGGCCCATGCGCAGAAGTCGGTATTTTGTGGAAGGACCACACTCAAGGGGCCACAGTTTGCAGACCACTGCCCTATATTGAAACAGTTTATAAATGTGTGTCCCATGTTGTTGCCAGCCTCCCACTCTAGGCTTAGGCAGCAGGGCCTATGTACATCAGAGACCAGCTTATGGGACAATGCTAATAACTTTTCCCTAACCCTCGTTTTGTCCTGAGTCTAAAATATGGGTCCTGAATCTAAAAACATCACTGACACCTGTTGTAGCACAACAGTTTTCAAATGCAATCCTAATATTCTAATCGAAGTGAAGAAAATGTGTGTGTTCCTATTAATGAAATGGTGAAAGTTGGGGAATGGGAAGAGCTACGGGGCCAAAGGGCAAGCCCATGAACAGCACCTGAATTCAAGTTCCTTCATTATCAGACGCCAAGGGAGAGCGCCAGAGGAAGAGGGAAAAGGTTTCTCCCAGAGAAGGAAAAGAGGGAGAAAATGGGAGGTATCTGTAATACTATCAACAATAAAAAATAAACCTAAAAAAACAGAAAAGAAAAGGTTTCTCCCAGGAAAGTGATTAAATCTATCACAGGAATGATTTTTATGCCAGACCCCCTGCAATGATTTCTCACTCTCTAACTTCCATGGATCCCCACCAGCTACAAACACTTGATCAAGTTTTACATTCTCAGTGTTTACTGCAAAAACAAAAGGCATGATGTTTTTCACGCTCTGCACACCTCTAGCTCTGATCAACCCCCGAAGAGGACTACCTGTATCCTATCCCCCCACTGAGAATCCCTGAACCAGAAAAACCAAAACAGTCACACAAGAAGCCAAAATTAGTGTTCCGTATAGGACACCCCCCACCCTATTGACCTTCGAATGTGGATATTTTCTCCTCAATCTCTGAATTTTATCCATATCTCTACACCTAACTTTAATGTAAGTTTATTACAATGCATCTCAAATGACCTGCAGAATGAAACACAAGAGAAAGAAAATAAGAAAGGAAGAAAGAGAAAATTATAGCATGCAGGCTAGCAATCAGAGTAATATGAAAAACCATCGTGACAACCAACACACTAGATAAAAGTACAGTAGTCCCCCCTTTTCCAGTTTTGCTTCCCACAGTTTTTAGTTAGCCATGGTCAATTATTGTCCAAATATATTAAATGCAAAATTCCAGAAATAAACAATTCATAAGTTTTCAATTGTGGGCCATTCTGAGTAGTATGATGAAATGTCATACCATCCTGCTCCATCCCACCCAGGATGTGAATTATCCCTTTGTCCATGTATCCATGTTGCATGCACTACCCACTGTTAGTCGCTTAGTGGCCCTCTTGGTTATCAGATCAACTGTTATGGTATCACAGTGCTTGTGTTCAAGTAGCCCTTATTCTACTTAACAACGGTCCCAAAGCACAAGAGCAGTGATGGTGGCACTTCAGATATTTACCACCAGTCAATTAGTGTCTCATACCCTTGCCTGTGTACAATAAAGCCCAATCTTTCGATCTATTTTTCAGCATCTCAATCTTAAACAAAAACAAATAGTAAAGGACCATCATACATTCAAGATGACAGACTGTCTAAATCAGATGAACTAAATAAAGAAATGAGAGGCAGACAATGAAAGGAGCAGAAAAATACAAGGTGGAAAATGCATGGGGTTTCGGGGGAGTGGTCCTGGGCTTGACACTTTTCTGTGCCTGGATAAATGTAATTTAGAAACCTCCTGGGGCTCTTACGGAAAGTGAAATAAACTGTTGAAAGTGCCTCCTGAGCACATAATAGACACCAAATGTTTGTTTACTGCCCTTCATGCAATCTCTTTTTTCCAACTCAATAACTCACACTGATTCTTACATCTTCCACTTCTCAGATAGGACAATGTCTTTTATCTACTCCAACTTCTATTTTTTCACTTTATTTTGGCTTCAAGTCACCCATTCTAACACCCAAGTAGAGTCTCAACCAGTCTTACTACCACCTGATTGCTAAGTCTTCCAAAGCAGAATTACTGGAGTACAGAGCCACCTACAGGACATATATCCTATTTCCACCCACAATGGGTATCCCTGCTAAATATGTCCCAGACACTTCTTTCTTTTTCTTTTTTTAAATTTATTTTTAATTTAAGTTGACTTATAATATTATATTAGTTTCAGGTGTACAACATAGTGATTACACATTTGCACACCTTATGAAGTGGTCACCATAATTCCAGTAAACCATCTAACACCATAAAGTTATTACGGTATTATTGGCTGTCTGCCCTGTGCTGTACATTACATCCCTGTGACTTATTCTATAACTGGCAATTTGTATTTCTTAGTCCCCTTTCACCTTTTACACCCATTCCCCCAACCCCCTAGAATGCCTACACTTAATTCTTCTTTTTCTTTCTTTATTGGTTAAGGTATTACATATGTGTCCTTATGCCCCCATTGCTCCCCCAGCCCCCCACTCATGCCCTCACCCCCCCTGGTGTTGCAAATGGTAAGAATTCATTCTTTTTTACCACAGCGTAGTATTCCATTGTGTAGATGTACCGCTGTTTTTTAATCCATTCATCTGCTGATGGGCACTTAGGCTGTTTCCAGATCTTAGCTATGGTGAATTGTGCTGCTATGAACACAGGGGTGCATATATCCTTTCTGATTGGTGTTTCTAGTTTCTTTCGATATATTTCTAGCAGGGGGATCACAGGGCCAAATGGGAGTTCCATTTTTAGTTTTTTTGAGGAAACACCATACTGTTCTCCACAGTGGCTGCACCAGTCTGCATTCCCACCAGCAGAGACACTTCTTTCTTATATAATTACTAGATGCAAGTCATTCAGATTTGTCTGCAAAATTATTATTTAAAACTACTCAGAGATTTTACTAACAACTGACTTTTAAAATAAGTATTAACCCCTCTAAACTTCCTAATTGGATATAAGTACTACCACTTCTCTGTTTTAATATATTAGCTTTAAATGTGTGGCCTAGAACAGTGGTTCTCAACCTGTAGGTCACAATCCCTTTGGCGGTCGAACGACCCTTTCACAGGGGTCGCCTAAGACCATCCTGCATATCAGATATTTACATTACGATTCATAACAGTAGCAACATTACAGTTATGAAGTAGCAACGAAAATAATTTTATGGTTGGGTCACAACATGAGGAACTGTATTTAAAGGGCCAGAAGGTTGAGAACCACTGGCCTAGAAGATTTTGGTTAAAGACCAACTTTTAGAAATTGAACATTTTTGTGCTTTCAATAATCACATATTTAACAAAGCAACTAAATGTGAGGCTCTGGTATGAAGGAGCCCTTTTTCTTCTAGCCACTGAAAGGAAAAGGTTCACCATCATGCAAAACCAATAGCTATTCTCTCAGTCAGGTACTTAAGGAGAAAACATAAAGAGAACAAACTCCACACATCAATACTAGCACTTAAGGTGGGATGAATGCTAGTACTTAGGGAGTGATGAGCGGTGCAAACAATTGGAATGACTACAAAAATATACTCACAGCCTCAAAATGCAAATGACTATCCTTTAAAAAATCTTGAATTTTGTCCCTGGGTAAAATACTGAATCGAAATCGAAGAAGATCCATTTCTTGTTGAATAAACCAGCGTCTAAGATCATCACTAAAATGGAGATAGGAAAATTACAAGTATAAATTATAAGTCCAATGGGTAGTTTAAAAATCCACTGATTATTAAATCCAAGAAGTTTCTATGAAACAGTATTCAAACATGACCAAGATGACAATAAACAGACGTTAAAAGTGCTCTATTGTAGTATAAAGAGAGTAAGAATAGCCGAAACCGGTTTGGCTCGGTGGATAGAGCGTCGGCCTGCGGACTGAAAGGTCCCAGGTTCGATTCCGGTCAAGGGCATGTACCTGGGTTGCGGGCACTTCCCCATTGGGGGATGTGCAGGAGGCAGCTGATCGATGTTTCTCTCTCATCGATGTTTCTAACTCTCTATCTCTCTCTCTCCCTCTCTGTTAAAAATCAATAAAATATATTAAAAAAAAAAAAGAGAGAGTAAGAATAACACACCCCACAATCTTCCAGGGATGGGCTAATGTGGGGAAAGAGGTGTAATGAACATACAATTAAAATAATTAAATACAGAATACTTTAAGCTTAGCTGCATTATTATCAAATAATATAAAAGAAAATAGTTCACTGCATCTAATGTAACCACAAAATAGTCAATTACATTAGAAAATAGGATATTACTTCTGTCTAAAGTGATTTCATCCATGCCAAATAAACCCCAATTTTCTAAAGGTAATTTACCTCTGAATAGATTATGATCAGATGAATTTCACAATATAATCTTTGCTTACAGCTTTTTTGTTTATAATTTCACAAAATGTAATATGCACGGTATACTTCAATTTTTCAAAAGCCAACACACAAATACTGTATTAATTTGCAAGATGGATCCACAATCAGCATTATTGTTGTTACACAATAATGATGCTAATGAGTGCACAGTATGATTTAGTTTTTTACCAAGGTGGTTTTCACATTGTCAGCAATTCACTTACTGCATAAGTTACATAAACTACATATGCTTTTTCACAAAAGAAAATCTCTAGGACCAAAACTGGTCAATAATTTCTAGTTGTTATCTTTGGATAGTAAACAACTTAATGTTCTCACTTGATAAGTCTATTCGTAAAAAGAAAAGGGAAAGAAACTTATAAGTATGTTCTTTTGCCAGAATTAATACAAGAAAAACACCACAAAGTTTAAAAGGCAACTAACTCCTTTCCCTCTGGGTGGCACTATTGACTTATAAGAAACCAAATACCAGAGGAAAATATCTTAATCTAATGGTCACTGATCCATACATCTCAACTTCTAAAAACCTGCATCGAATTCAAGTGTGTACTTGAGTCATTATTTCTTATAAATATTACCAGTTTTTTTCTGGGGGGGGGGGGGGGGGGGAGACAAAGTAACTAAAGTCTCTAATAAAATTTCCCTCAATTTCACATCCCAAATGAAGAGTCTCTCCCATAAAGGTAAAACGTGTTTCAACTGGCAAAGTGTTTCAGTAGGATTTTTTGGGGGGATATTGCATAGTAAACAACTTGTTTCCAACAATCTGCTGCAGCAGTGTTTAACTCATGAGCCACTGGTTGCTGATGTTGTCCTGAGTTTTCCTATGTTCAGTACAATACATGTTAACTTTCCGTGTACCAATGAATAACCCAAGACATCAAATATGACCGTGAGAATATAAATGTGTACTCACGACTGGCAGTAAGCAAGGCGTAAAATAAAGTGAGAAATGTGATCTTTTCTTCGAGCGTCATATTCATCTTCTAAGTTTTCCTTAAAAATAATGGTACATGAATAAAATGAATGCATTAGAATAGTAAGAGGTGTAAAGTAATACTGAGTCAGCATAAGCTAATGTAAAGTAAAAGTTTCATAAACACAAACTTCATAGTATATTTTGCAGGATAATGATCATTTTTCATAAGTTAGCAACCAGGTAAAACTGAGGACCGAACTCATCTCAGCAAAATCCCCTGGGTTTGAACCCTGCTATTTTCCTAACTTTCTTTGTTATCCATCCTATACCTAGGGTACTCACCACTTCAACAACTTCTTGCATCAACCCTCAACTTTTTGTTTTTCAACACTGTGGCAAAATCTAGATTCTAAATTAATCTACAGCTATACTCTGCAGTCTATTGAAAATGCTAAAACCTGGGAATTTGGAATATTGAAAATTCACAGCCTCTAACCCAAGGGTGGGCAAACTTTTTGACTCGAGGGCCACAATGGGTTCTTAAACTGGACCGGAGGGCCAGAACAAAAGCATGGATGGAGTGTTTGTGTGAACTAATATAAATTCAAAGTAAACATCATTACATAAAAGGGTACGGTCTTTTTTTTTTCAGTTTTATTCATTTCAAACGGGCCGGATCTGGCCCGCGGGCCGTAGTTTGCCCACGGCTGCTCTAACCCCAGCTGGACCTTTACCAACACTAAGGAAACTTTATCCAAGTCCAAAACAGTAACAGCAAACATGTCTTGTGCACTTACGAGGTACCAGACACTATTTTAAGCATTTCTCATCTATCAACCCATTTAATCCTTTAAAAATCCCTATCAGGTAAACTCTGCTGTGTACCCCTATTACACAGACAAGGAAAATGAGGCACAGGGAAGTTATATAACTTGTCCAAGGTCACAAAACTTTTAAGCAGCAGAGCTGGGATCTGACACAGCCATCTCTGTTCTCATTTCTTAGAAAAGCTGTCTCAGCTCTTTTGTTGTGTCTCAGCTGGTTCTCAGAGTCAATTCGCCTAGGGGTTCACCCCATGGTGCCAACAGCAATCAAGGCTCAACTACAATAGGACAGTGCACACAATCCACCCAGGGGTGCACCTAGAGAGCCCAGCTCAGGTGACTACAGAGGCTGAGCCACTGGGCCCTACAGGACACTTACTACACAAGGCCACTCTACCAATTCCAGAGGACATAGCACAGGGAAACAAACACAGGGAGGCAGCAAAAATGTGGAGACAGGGAAACATGTCAAAAATGAAGGAATAGAGGAAATTTCCAGAAAAAGAATTAAATGAAATGGAAGCAAGCAAACTACTAGATACCAAGTTCAAAACAATGGTTATAAAGATGCTCAAGGACCTTGATAAGAGCTTCAAGGTACTTAGTGAGAATTTCAAAGAAATTCATGAGAATATCAAAAACATGAAAAAGAACCAGTCAGAAATTAAGAATACACTAACTGAAATAAAGAATAATTTACAAGAAATCAACAGTCAAGTAGAGGATGCCAAGAATCAAATCAGCAATTTGGAATATGAGGAAGCAAAAAACACCCAATTAGAAGAGCAAAAAGAAAAAAGAACCCAAAAATATGAAGATAGTGTGTAAGGAGCCTCTGGGACAGCTTCAAGTTTACCAACATCTGACATAATGGGGCTGCCAGAAGAAGAGAGGAATTGAAGGTCAGATAAAGAGCTTCACAGACAAGAAAAAGCTAAAGGAGTTCATAACCACCCAACCAGTATTATATGAAATGTTGAAGGGTATTCTGTAAGAAGAGGAAGAAGAAGAAAAAAGAGATAAAAAATATGAACAATAAAATGGCAATAAATACATAGCTATAAACAATTGAATGTAAAAATCAAAGTATCGAACAAGGAATCTAATAAACAAAATAAACTGATGAGTAAAATAGAACCAGAGGCATGGAAACATGGAACACACTGACAAATCTCAGAGAGAAAGGGGGGTTGGAGGCGGAGGGTGGAGGAGGGAGGGGGGGAATTAACTTAAGAAGATATGCATATATTTATCACCTATGGACACTGGACACAAACAATAGGGTGGTGAAGGCCTGGGGTGGGGTGGGAACTGGGTGGAGGTGGGTAACGGAGGGAAAAAATGGGACATCTGTAATACTCTCAACAATAAAGATTTTTTTAAAAGAAAAGCTGTTTCAGTCTTCACAAGTTGGCCCAAACTCCATACCACACCACCCTCCCCCCTTCTCTCTCACCTGACGACTTCACCTATTTTAGAGAAAATAAAGGCCACCAGGCTGACTTCTTCAGCTCCAAGCCTCTGTGTCCACACTGTGTTGCCTTCCCTTCCTTCTCTGTGAACCAAGCGTCTCTCCATTCCCCTAAAAAATGCTAATCCGTACACCTAACCTTGCAATCCCTCTGTTCCTGCCTCCTAAGGACCATGATGTATCAAATGCTTTCTCAGAGCATCTTCAAACTTCCCTACTCTTCTTTATTGTCTAGAATTTTTCTGCTCCGTTCATAAATGTTTAACTGTCTCCTGTCATATATGTATGTATGTGTCTTCACTTGTCCCTATACTTCCTCCATATTCAGCTCTATTTCTCCCATCTTTTCAGCTGAACATCTTAAAAGAATGCATATTCCATCTCCACCTCTCAACTCCCTCATCCAGCCACTGTCATCATTCGGGCTTCTACCTCAATCTACAAACAGTCCACCCAGTTGACAAATCAATGGATTCTGTATAACTCATCTTACATGATCTATCCAAAACTTCTGAAACTGTTTGAATCTTGTTTTGAATCTTGGCTCCACCATTTACTCTCTCATGAGTTTGGACATGTTATTTCCTTATCTGTAATTCAGTACCCTCAATTATAAAATATGGATAATAATAGTATCTACCTCATAAGACTGCTGCGTGGATTACATGGGTGAATATATATCATACACTTAGGACAAATCCTGGGGCACAGTAAGCATAGTACAAATGCTTGCTGCAGTCATTCCTATAATATTACTATTAATACCATTATCTTTATTATTGTAACCCCAACCTTCCTTAGCTGCTATGACACTGTCATTCTGACTGACCTCTTACCTCTCAGGCAGCTCTTTCCCATTCTCCTTCCCAAGCTCCTCCAATTCTACTTCACCTTAACTATTGGTATTCCTCACATCCTATCTTCCATCACCTTCTCTTCTCACTCAAATATTTTCCTCCAGTGCTCTAACCTACTCCTGATGATTGCAACCTTCATCTTTTTTTTTAAATATATTTTATTGATTTTTTTTACAGAGAGGAAAGGAGAGGGATAGAGAGTTAGAAACAGCGATGAGAGAGAAACATCGATCAGCTGCCTCCTGCACACACCCTACTGAGGATGTGCCTGCAACCAAGGTACACGCCCTTGACTGGAATCGAACCCGGGACCCTTCAGTCCATAGGCTGATGCTCTATCCACTGAGCCAAACCGGTCAGGGTGCAACCTTCATCTTAAATATATACTCCTACTCCAGATGTCTGCTAAATCCAGACCTTCATGAATATTCAACTGTCCACCAGACATCTCCACAGGCACCTCAACTCATGTCTAGAACTAAATTCAACATCTTCCAAGTCTTGCTTCTCCTCCTGTATACACATCTCAAAATATCACCCTATCTGCCGAAACCGGTTTGGCTCAGTGGATAGAGCGTTGGCCTGCGGACTGGAAGGTCCCGGGTTCGATTCCGGTCAAGGGCATGTAGCTGGGTTGCGGGCACATCCCCAGTAGGAGATGTGCAGGAGGCAGCTGATAGATGTTTCTCTCCCATCGATGTTTCTAACTCTCTATATCTCTCCCTTCCTCTCTGTAAAAACTCAATAAAATATATTTTTTTTAAAAAAAAATATTACTAAATTCACTCTTTAAAAAAAAAAAAATATCACCACTATCCACCTTATTGTCCTAACTAGAAACCTGGGTGTCATTCACAACTCTTCTCCCTGCAACCAGTCACTAAAATCTTTTGATTCTACCTTCTTCATATCTCTTCAATCAGTCTTCTTTCCATTCAATCCCTCTCATCATTTCCAAAGTCCTACTGGTTTTCCTCCTACCAGACATTTGCCTATCCATCTGTTAATGGCAGTCATCTTCCCAAAATAAAAATCTAATTGTATCCTTCAAGATGCAATTCAGCACTACCTCCTCTGGGAAGACTTTCCAAACCACCCCACTCTAAACTGGGTGGTTATCTGTGCTACTGGAGTTCCTGGAGCACACATCCAAAACAGCCATCATCACAGCATTCATCACTCTATACGCACAGGGTACATATGTCAGTGTTTGGAAACATCTAGCGGGTAGAAAACAGGGCATCCTACAATGCATAGGACAGACCCTGAAACAAGGAATTAGCATTCCCAAAACATCAGCAGTCCCAAAGTTGAGAAAATTTGCCGTATTAGAATGATCTGACTACATGCCAATCACCCCCAGGAGACTGTAGGTATCTTCAGGCAGAGTCTATGCTATATTAATCTTTATGAAGGCCTTATGCCTAATACAAGAACTTTTCCGCAACTGAGGCTCAGTACATGAATATATAGAACTAAATGAACATTTATTCCCCCTTTTACTTACTCTGTAAGAAAACTTGAGCTTTCGAATCTCAGCTTCCAGCTTGTTCTGGTATGACTCATGTCCTTTCACATGGCTCACACCAATATTTTCAACTGCTTTTAGCACTAGAAAAAAAATTTAATAAAAGAAAAGTATATAAATGCAAGATAACTTTTAAAAACTAAATTCAAGACATAAAATCTATGAGTGGCAATTGAACAATTATTTGTTTATAAAAGATGACAAGTGAGAAGTTATTTTCTGCAAGTACATAATATAAATTATATTAAAATTATAATAATAAAAGCCTAATATGCAAATCAACTGAACAGCAGAAAAACCGGTGGAATGACCGGTAGCTATGACACACACTGACCACCAGGGGGCAGACACTCAATGCAGCAGCTGCCCTTTTCCCACAGGCTCCAAGCCAGCCAAGGAGGGTGCCAGCGGGGGGTCCCCTGATTGCCCCACAGATCAGCCTTGATCGCTGGCCAGGCCTAGGGACCCTACCTGTGCACAAATTTTGCGCACCAGGCCTCTAGTATGTTTATAAGAAGCTAACCACCATTCGTGTGTAGAAAAGATCAAGGCCCCACAGCATAATTTAATACCAGGGCCCCAACCAGGGGGAAGAGAGGAATGGTTAACCACTGCTGTACTGAGCCACTGTGGTTGAGGAATGGAAAAGGGTATCCATATGGAGAAAAGACTAAGCACCCCTTGTTTGTATCCCTCATGTGGAACTGCCTGTTGGGTGGTGTACTTCTATTTTCTCAGCATATACTCATCAGAAAGATAGCCCTTCCTTTCTGATGAAGCAGAGAAGACACAATTGTGAAGAAGCAGGGCCCTCCAATCATCCAAACACTCTCTAAATAGATGCTACACCCTGTTTAAAAATTCCTACAGCCCCTTGTCAATCCTTTTTCAGATGAATTCTTCTTTCATCAATACAAAAAGAGGCTTTTTTTTAATTCAAGAATTAAAAACTTCTCAAATGACTCCTGAACATAAACCCAGGTCCCTTGGGTACCTCTTTTTATGGCATACCAAAGCAAACTCATAATCTGCCCCCTGTACCCCCTTTGTTGCTCCTCTTCTGGCTATCTCCATCTCCACTAGCTTCAGCCACCACCACTACTAGAGCCCTTAACATACTAAACTATGATTATTATTTTGCATCTCTGCTTCCATGTACTAGAATACAATTTCATCAAAGATGAGAACTAGCCGAAACCGGTTTGGCTCAGTGGATAGAGCGTCGGCCTGCGGACTGAAAGGTCCCAGGTTCGATTTGGTCAAGGGCATGTACTTGGGTTGCAGGCACATCCCCAGTGGGAGGTGTGCAGGAGGCAGCTGATCGATGTCTCTCTCTCATCGATGTTTCTAACTCTCTATCTCTCTCCCTTCCTCTCTGTAAAAAATCAATAAAATATATTTTAAAAAAAAAAAAAGATGAGAACTACAATATTCATCTCAAAATCCCTAACACCTGGGATAGAGTGGACTCAATAAATATTAACTGTCCAGTAAATAAACGAATAGCAAACCCTCAATAAATATTTGTTAAATAATTGCTTAATAAAGGAAATATATTAGCACACTCATCCTCACAAAGTATAAGTGAGATCCTCAAGAATACGTAAATTCTAATTCAAATATCACTCACATTTAACTCTATCGAAAGCAAAGTTTTCAAACTCTATCAAAGATATGTTTTCAGTAGGTGGCTGCAGGTAAAACTGAAGGCTGTGAGGGTAAGCATTCCTCTGATCGGCTGTCAACTTCAGTTTCCTCCTCTTTGAAAATTCCATCTTGTTACCCTTATCAGGAAGCACCTAAAATGGTTGAAATGATGGAAAGTGGAGCTGAAAACAACCAACCAAAAACATAAACAAAAATAATAATAATACGTCTACACGCACAGGAAAAAAAAAAAAAAACAGTGAAGTTCAAGGGCATACACCAAAGGTTAACAGTGGCTATCCCTGGGCGATGTCTTTCTGTATTTTCCACATTTTCTACAATACACCTTGTAAATGGTTGAGGGTGGGGGTCGGGCTGCTAGGGAAGACGCAGGTGGTGATGCTAACTTCCAGCAACATGAGAGCCAGGTGCTGGTGCTGCTCACTGGAAGTCGGCGCACCTGATCTCCGCTGTCCCGCGTTTAGAGGAGGTTTCCTAAGGGGCTGCGATCCTGAGCTCCTTGGAAAGCGCGGGAGGTTCTAACTAGTAAGAAACTTACTGGACCGGATCCAATTACAGTACTTCCTTCCTATCTTAATGACCCCGGGAAACAGAACTGTTTTCGAACCCAGTCTTTCAGAACTCTTTTTAGGGAGCATCCACACTTTCCCTATAAAAATCCTTCCCCCGCCTCCCCCCGCCCGCCCCACTCCTCTGGCGAAGCTGTCCCTATTCGACTCACGGGCGCCTGAGTTTCAGCCCAATAACCGACCCCCGAGCCAGATCAACCCCTCCGCTCCCATCGCCCGCAAAGAGCTCTCCCTTCTGTCTCCACCTGCAAGCCTGAACACCAGACTGCCGTCGGTTCTAAAGCCACGGGAGCTGCTCTTACCTGCAACCACTCCGAAAGCGATTAGACGCCAACGCTGACAGCCGCTTTTCCCGGGTGGCGGGAGATTTCACTTAACAGGAAGCGGAAGTGACGGACACAGGTCCCGCCCCCGAATGTCCCGCCTCCGCAGCACCGCCCGGTGCGGGCGGAGGGCGCCCACCTGGATGCCTGCCGTTGCGGGGAGTTGGTAGCTCTGGGCGGTGGCACTGGGGTGCCGGATGCTGGCGGCACAGGTTTCCGTGGCCCGAGAAGGTGGCCCCGAGACTCTGGGGACGCAGAGAAGATCCCAGGGGATGACATTGTGGCGCTCTGACCCGCAGGGCTGGCCCCCGTCACTTTCGATCGGGGAGGTTACTGACTGCATTTATTGCACCTGGACCACTATGAGGAGCTCTAGTTCGGTTGCATTTTTTTAAAGAACTTTGCATTTTATTTTTCAATTACAGTTTACATTCGATATTGATTTGTATTAGTTTCAGGTGTACAGAATCGTGGTTAGACAATCGTAGACTTTACAAAGTGTCCCCCTCCCCCGCCCCCAGAAGCTCTGGTTTTTCTTGTTTAATCTTTCAGGTAAGTGGTATTACGCCATTTTACGGATGAGAAGACAGAAGCTAAAAGATGGTTGTTCGTTTGCCCATCTCTGTACAGTGCGTATTTTGTTTTTTCTGTGAGAAGGCAAGCCCCATCACGTTAGATTCTACCTTTAGTTCACTACCCTCCACCCCAGCTCCGCCCCAACGCCTGGCGCACAGTGAGCGAGCAGAAAAACATCTGGAATTAGAATGAATAAGTGAGTGCACACAGACAGAAGTCGCTCTGGGATCTACAGAAATTAGAAGAAGGCGGTCTCAGTGGGGGAGAAGCAGGTGTGGAAGAGGTGGGACTGCGGATCAGTGGAAGTGGCGGGTGGGAGCCACACAGGCTCTGCAGTCTGCAGGGTTTTCAAGAGCTGGAAAGAAAGCACACGTGTGTCCTCTAGGGGGCGCGAATCACCAACAAAAGTGAGGTTAGTCCATTGGAGGTGAAGAAAGCTTGAAACGTTCAAGTTTTCAGAAATGCAAAGTATAATGAAACAATATCAAGCTTTAAAGGACCTAGCCCAGCCAGCATGGACCAAATTGTGGCTGGCACTGACTTTGTGCCAGGATGTGTTCTAAGTGACTTACATGCTAACTCATGGTATTCTCATAACCATATGAGGTCGGTTCTATTATTATCTCATTTTACAGATGAGGAAAGCTAAAATGAAGTAACTTCAAATCACATAAGTGACAGCCAAATTCAATGTCAGAGAGATTGTCTCCAAGCACCAGGGCGCTAACCACCATACACTCTACTAGTAGACAGCTGTACATCACTTTAATTCCTTCCTCCCTGTATTAGACACATAATTTACATCACCTAGTGCCGTGATCAGCAAACCGCGGTTCTCGAGCCACATGCGGCTCTTTGGCCCCCTGAGTGTGGCTCTTCCACAAAATACCACCTGCGGGCGCGCACCATGCAATTAAAACTTCGTCGCCCATGCACAGAAGCCTCCCTTGTCGCCTCCCTTATCCTCTCCCTTCTCCTCTCCATGCCCTTGACAGGAATCGAACCTGGGATCCTTTAAGTCCACAGGCCAACACTCTATCCATTAAGCCAAACCAGTCAGGGCTATTTTGAAGGAAGATAAAACAACCCCAAAAAGAACTGTTTTCAATTTTCGATTGAGGGGTTATTTTAAAGCAAATAGATGAACCTGGTGAAAGGGAGGAAGGAAGAAAGAGAGTGAGGAGGGAGTGTAGGAAAGAAAGGCTTTGTAATGACTTCCATGTAAGGACAGCCTGGAACCCCTTTCTCCAACCTCATCTCCTTCCATCCTTTCTTTCACTTTATGGTTGGAACACATCATAATTCCCCAACTTGTACACTATTTCAAGTCTCTGGGGTCTTACTTGGACTGCTCTGCGTCCAAGTAGAGTTCTTTTTCCCTCCTTTTGGTACGGATTCAAAACCCTCTGCCTTTTTCCTTTCCTTCTTGCAGCGTTTCTCAACCTGTGGGTCGCGACCCTTTCACAGGGGTCGCCTAAGACCATCGGAAAACACATATATAATTACATATTGTTTTGTGATTAATCACTATGCTTTAATTATGTTCAATTTGTAATGAAATTGGGAGTCACCACTGGGAGGAACTGTATTAAAGGGTCGCGGCATTAGGAAGGTTGAGAACCACTAGGGAAAAAGAAGAGAGAAGTAGAGCCTTGACTGGTTTGGCTCAGTGGATAGGGCGTCAGCCTGCAGCCGGAAGGGTCCCAGGTTCGAT